GGGCAGTTCTCTAAATTAGGGTTTAGGGTTTAGGGTCCCTTTTGTTAAAGGGAACTACAGGTGGGGAGTTTAGGGTATATAGGGCTTCTACAAGGCTTCCGTAAGGTATATACACCTTCTATAAGGCTCCTGTAACGGAAACTACCCACCTGAAAATGTCCTGGATTTTGGAGTCCTATTTATAAGGGCGTCGTACTGTATTGGGGACCTAAGAAGGGACACGAATTTAGAGAACTACCCATGTATGGAATCGGGATAATATCTTCTGGGCAAATTATGCACAAAAAATCTGTGATCAGCCCAATTACTGAGACTTCAAAATCTATCACCAAAGGCCCCCCCATCCTACAGTCTACAGATACGCAGGTGTTTACGGGTCTTGTGGTTTTGCCTTCAAGCACTTCAGTTTAGGACCTGATTGTGGTGTTGGATTTGAATGTTTACGGTTTTAGGCTTTAGGGCTTGAGTGCTTAAAGCTTATAGGGTTTCAAGGAGATAAACCCTCAACCCTAAGCCCTAAACCCTAAAGCCTACACCCTAAACCCTAAAGCCCAAACCCTAAACCCCAAACCCTAAACCCTAAAGCCTGAAACCCTAAACCCTAAAGCCTAAAAACCCTAAACCCTAAAGCCCTTCGGGCCCGAAACCCTACAGCCTAAAACCCTAAACCCTAAAGCCTAAAACCCTAAATTTAGGGTTTAGGGTTTAGGGTTTAGGGTTTAGGGTTTAGACCCGAAAACCCTAAAACCCTAAAGCCCTTCGAGGATCCTGGCCTCCGTGAGGTTAGAGCACCCAAGCCCGACTCTAGAGCTGGTTTTAGGATTTAGGGCTTAGGGCTTAGAGTCTAGGGCTTAGGGTTTAGGGTTTAGGGTTTAGAGTTTAGGGTTTAGGGTTTAGGTTTAGGTCAGTAGCTTGGGCTTCAGGGCTTCAGATTTAGGTTTTGACGTTTAGGAACCCCGAACCCTGAAACCCAGGCCCGTCACGGAAGTCTCAAACTAAGCCTGACACCGTGGGGACGCCTCGACCCGAAACCCCGAACCTGATGAATCTGATACAGCAACATTCAGACTCTATCGAGGTGTGGTCTTGGGGTGTTGGCTCTGGGTTTACGGTGTAAGGGTTTACGGTGTAAGGGTTTACGGTGTAAGGGCTTTGGTGGTTTCAGGAACGCAAGAGTATGCAAGAGTTTAAACGTCTGAGTCCTGGGTTCACGTTTGGTTTAGAGCTGGGCGTCTAGGTTTGGGGCTAAGGCGAAGCTAAACCCCCAATTACCCCCCCAAAAAAAACTACACCCGAAACTAGGGAGAAACTAAACCCGTCCCTGCGGAGCTGAAAGCTAAACCCCATAAACCCTAAACTCTAAACCCCTAAAGCCCCACCTAACTGAGGTTTGGACACCCTAACCCTAAACCCTAAACCCTAAACCCCAAACCCATTAGATGCTACGCCCGGCGAGGCTGGTGAGGTTGAGCCCTGAAGCTCTACCAAACTAAACCCTAAAGCCCAGAGGTTTAGGGGTTTAGGGTTTGGTTTAGGGTTTAGGGTTTGAGACATAACCCATCTGTTATATCGAACCCGACCATTTCCCTAAACCCTAAACCCTAAACCCTAAACCCTAAACCCTAAACCCTAAGCCCTAAACCCTAAACCCTAAACCCTAAACCCTATTCTAGACCCTGAAAAGGCCTGAAGGCCTCAAGAAGCCTAAGGAACACTGTTTCCATTTCTTCCGACCCTTACGGAAACGCCCTTAGCACCATAAATAAACAAAGTTGTGCTTCTTAAATGTCGCTTGGAGTTTGTGATGATGAAAATGCAGACTCAGAAATACAAAAACTCCTAAAAATCTCTAAACCCTAAACCCTAAACAAACTAAAGTATGGCACAACCCCAAAGCCCAAGCCGTAAAACCCTGAACCCTAAACCCTAAACTCCCTAAGCCCTAAACTTAAACACTGAACCCTAAGCCCTAAACCCCGAACCCTAAGCAAGAGCTATTAAACTCCAAACCCTAAACTGCCTAAAGTATAGTCGTCTGGGGTTTAGGGTTTAGGGTTTGGGGTTTAGGGTTTTTACGGTTTAGGGTTTAGGGTTAGTACAAAAAAAAGGGGCCTTGCCCAGCAACTCTTTGCTGTCACTGGTGGCCTCGACTCACAGCTGTGGGCGTCGGCTGTCCGGGGGTTTAGGGTTTCGGATTTCGGGTGAAGGGCTCAGGATTTAGGGCTTAGGATGTAGGATTTAGGGCGAAAAGTTTAGGAAGTAGGATTTAGGATTTGGGGTTTCGAGGACTGGATATAAACTTCGAGGGCTTGGGCGATTGGTGAAGATTGCAGAGTTCGGGCTTAAGCACTGCTACAATGATTTATTGGGTTTAGGATCTGGGTAGGATGATATACGGGCTTTTTGGGACTTGGGGTGCAGTGTCATCCACTGAACGGTTTAGGGTTTAGGGTTTAGGGCAATTTACCGTGGCAAATTACCCTAACCCTCAACCCTGGATAGTGCTGCAGCATCGACACCTCTCAGGCGCCTGGAGGTCGTGTGAGTTGGTGTCAGGGTGTATGGAGACGGTGTCAAGCTCGTCGAAACCCTGTTCTCCCAAATCAGGCCCCTGTACTACACCGTAGAAACAGTCCTTATAAAAAGCCTTAAGCTAACCCTTGAAGGCAACCCAGCATCCTAACCCCAAAACCCCAAAACCCTAAACCCCCAAACCCTAAACCCTAAAACCTCGAAACCCTAAACCCTATTCCGAGTCATATCGTACCTAACAACCAACCCCCAATCCAAGGGTCTCCACCACGCAAACCTCAACCCCCAACCCCCTAAACCCAAAACCCTAAACCCAAACCCCCAACCCCTAACCCTCCATCCTAAGCCTCGAGGCGTACAGGGCGTACAGGGCCTAAGTAGACGCTAGAGGGCTTATAAAGCTTAAAGACTTTAGGGTTAGGGTTTAGGGGATTAGGGCTTAGGGTTTTGGGGTTTTGGGTTTAGCCCCTGCCCGCACACCCCAAAACCCCACACAAACCAGAACACCTGAGACCCAAACTCAAGACCCCAAACCCTGAAACCCGTTTGAACCGCTTCCAAAACCCTAAAACCCCTGAAACCCTGAACCCGAAAACCCTAAAGCCCTAAACCCCGCACCCAAGATCCTCAACCCTCAATCCCATGAGGCCCCCCTGGGCTCGATACGATGCCCTTGTTGTTCACGTAGGTCTGACGGGTTCAAGTGCGGGGCGTTTTGTTGGGGGATTTAGGGCCTAGAGGTTTAGAGCTTAGCGCAATAGAGGTTGAGGGTTTAGGTCGGTTTAGGGCTTAGGGGGGGTTCAGGGCTTTAGAGGCTTGGAGGGTTGGAGTTTGGAGGGTGCAAGTTTAAGGGTTCAGGGTTTCAGGGTTTAGGGTTTAGGGTTTAGGGTTTAGGTTTTGGGGTTTCAGGGTTTCAGGGTTTAGGGTTTAGGGTTGTGTGACTCTTGCTAACCTAAGCCTCATCGCACTGCAGCATCTACCATTGCCTTACAAGGTTGGAGCTGTCTTAAGTAGGCGTTGAAAGGCAGACGGGAAACCCCACTGCCCGAAACTCCTCCACCCTCCAGCCCTAAACTTGTAGGTCCCGCATAGATCCCTTACAGCGCCCTGAATAGAATGTAAGGAACTCTTTTCTGAACGCTTACAAGTACCCTGACAGATACCAGATGCTACCGAACCCTATGTTGTAAAACCCATACTCCCTTGCTTGGGGTCTGAGGGTGGCTGAAATCTGCCTTCGGGCTTTAGGACTCAGGGTGTTGCCGGCCGGGGTTCATGATTCATGATTGTACTGTTTTCGGATACACGCGAAGCAGAACAGCCTAGAAACTATAGTAAAATCCTCTGGTTGGCGTTGTATTTCTCTCCTGGTTACGGCACCAAACTGGAGGATGTAAGCCAAAGATGCAACATGTTGGGATGATTACAGGTGCCTCAACAACTAGTGATTAGAAGAGATTTCCTAAGGGTTCCTTAATGAATCTATAGCTGAACATGCTCCAAAAGATTGGCACTAGGCCTTAGGATTGGAACTTTGCGTTCACATTCCGAGGTTCGGGTTCTACGGCAAGCTCTGTCATACTGAGAGTTTAACCCTAAACCCTAAACCCTACAGCCGTTAGGATTTAGGGTCTCAGGCGCAAACAAAACAAACCTGCCAAAAGAAAAACAAACCCCAAAATCCTCAATCCTGAGACCTACAGACTAAACCCAACACCCCAAATCCTGAAAGCTCATGCCCGCACCCGAACTGAAATCCCCCTTTAGGAGCCCCTCACAGGAACCCTAAACCCTAAACCCTCAAACCTAAACCCCGAACCCTAAACCCTAAACCCTCAAACCTAAACCCCGAACCCTAAACCCTAAACCCTGAACCCTAAACCCTAAACCCTGAACCGAATAGGAGCCTTTTCGTTCTCCTTGGGAACGAGCTCGACCGGATCAGGAAGTGGTTGAAGCAGAGCCCTCACCTCACCGGCAAAATGGAATCATCCTAAACCAAGAACCCAGAGAGACGGGGAGAGAGAGTGAGAAATAGAGAGATACAGTGACGCGGAGATAGAGGGCTCGGTGCTAGGCTGCTAGATAGACAGATAGACGGATGGACAGATCGATAGGTCGACACATAGACAGATCGATCGATCGAAAAATCGGTAGATCGCTAGCTAGGTAGATAGCCAGAAAGATACAGCAGACAGACAGACTGGCTGATTGACTGGTTGCCTGACTGACTGATAGACTGATAGACGGATAGGTGGATAGACTGATGGCTTGATTATCTGATAGATAGAAAAACAGATAGATAGATCGATAAATAGATGGATAGATAGATAGATGGATAGATAGATGGACAGAGAGATAGGTAGGTAAATAGACAGACAGATAGACACATAGATAGATACTGAGATAGAGGTATGACCAAAGGTTAACGTCTGCAGGTTTGGGGGCTTAGGGGTTGGCTGAGGATTGAGGGGCCAGGGCCAGCGATGGTACTGTACTGGTCCTCGAGGAGGTACCTTAGAGGTTTAGGGCCTAGGGAGCTAAATACAGAACCGTCCCCCTGTATTGTGCATTTATTGCAGCAGCCCGGCGAGGATTCATGGCTTTCTAGGACTAAGGGCTTTAGGGTTTATGGTTTAGGGAAGAATAAGAAACCCTGATACTAACACATCCTGCTTACACCTATAACTCAACTCAAGCCTTAACCTCCTCCTGGTTCAAACCCGCTGGGTCGCTGGGCCACATCGTTGCGGCCGGAAGCCTCCACAACGGCCCGGACTTTTGTGCGAGCTTATGTTGCGGGCTTTGATGTAAGTGTGTAACACAGGAGCCCGAACAATTAGGCTAGGGTTTTGCTGGATGTTGTACGAAAGCTGCATAAAGACGTTTAGGGTATATATTACCACTACTTGGAGCTCTGCTTGGCAGGTCTTTCCGGGTGTTCTGGATAAAGAGAACAGGGTTTGGGTAGTGTCTGCGCGTGTATACATACATACATGCATACATACATGCATACATACATGCATAGAACGGTAGATACATACATAGATGGAAGATAGAGAGATAAATAGATACACAAGTACCCGGCTACGTAGATAGATAGATAAATAGATAGATAGATAGATAGATAGATAAGCGGATACATACACGTATATGTAGGTAAGTACATGCATGCAGACAGACGGACAGACAGACAGACAGACAGAAAGACCGACGGACAGACAGACAGACGGACACATTTATTAAACATATGTATAAGCGCAGAGAGAGCGAGATGCAAGGGGAACTAATTACTTTCAAAGCTTGTTCTTGGTGTTGAGTCTAAGGTTGAAGGTCAACCCTAACCCTAAACCCTAATATGCCTTTCTGCTTGAGGGGGGTGAGGGGTGGTTAGGAGATTCGGGGGTTTCAGAAAATAGGGGACCCTAATATAGTACCCTGAATTGTAGGATCCTTATTATGAGGACCCCAAAAGAAGGTACCCCTCATTTTCGGAACCTCCCATTCGAGCTCAAAACTCAAGTTCAAGGCTCCGGGCTTCCAGCTCAAGGAGGCCCCCCACCCTGCCCTAAAGGCTCCTGGGCCCTCAAACTGAAACCCCCAAACCCTAAACCCGAAACCCTAAACCCAAAGGCTCATGGGAATCAGACTGAAAGAACATTGAGAACCTTAGGGTCCTAGCCAGGAGGTACCGGGCCCTGTTTGGGAGGCTCCTTTGAGCCTTAAGGTGGGTTCAGGGTTTAGGATTTTGCAGAGATGGAAGGACTATACGTAGTTCAGGGCTTAGGATTATGCTTGGGGAGCGGGAAGAGGAGTGAGGCTTAGGATGTAGGTTTTTCAAGCTTCATGTGAGTGAGAGTAAGTATTCTCGCCCAGGTCCGGCTAAAAGCTGTTTTAAACAGCTGTTAACCAAAAACCCAAACTTGAAACGGATATCTTACTGTAAACACCAACCCCTACACCCCAAACCCAAGCCCAATACCATACAAACCCTCAACCTTGAACATCACACCCTTGTAGGAACCCTTAGAGGAACAGAATCCTAAACCTACTGTTGATGTAAATCCTGCCTTACCTTACGGACCCTAAACTATGAAACTATGGTATATTCCTTATTATGGGTAATGCAGGATTATATCATCAACCGTATTAACTTTAAGCATGAAAGCCTTAAAGGAACCTTTGGGGAACCCTAAAGGAGCCCTTGAATAAAGCGATGCCGGCGGCTTAAACCCTAAAGCGAAGCTTCCGGGAACCCCGGCCACGGCAATGCAGAGCAAAGACCGGCCCTTCGCATCTTTCCTTAGCAATAAAGGTTCCAAGTTTAGGGTCTAGGGTTTGGGATTTAGGGTTTAGGGTTCAGGGTTTAGGGGTTTAGGGGCTCCTTGTTTAAAAGGGCTCTCTTGGAGTCCGCTGCGGGTTTTATAGGGGTCCTCTAAGGGATTCGTACGGATTTGTTGCTCATGACGGTTCCATAAGGGTCATGTGGGTAGTTGTCAAAATCATGGTCCCTTTTGGGGTACCCTAAATACTAGGTGCCGTATTATAATAAGGACCCCAAAAGGGACCATAATTTTGACAACCACCCATGTAAACAATACTATACAGGTTCTTAAGGGGCCCTAGTCTCTGCAGGTTCCGCGTGTTTGCGGGGTTGAGGGTGAGGGGCTGAAGGTAAGTTGTAGAAGCATTCATAATCACAGCAGGGTGCAGTAACTCGGTATAGTAGCAATATTAAGGAATCTGAGGAATGGTTGTAGTAACTGTTCGATCATTTTTGCGCAAGCTAAGGGCTCGTGTCGAAGAGCCACGGGATCTGAGGGCAGCCTCTCTGGTCAGGGACAGGGGCTTGGGGTTCGCGGTTCACGATTCAGGGTTTAGGGTTTAGGTAAGGGCTGTATGGCCAGCAACGGATAACACCGTGCAAAGGAAACACTGATGAAAACCAGCAAACCTGCAAGACATGTACTTATCGATGCCCTACCTAGACGGTCATACCCTACCCATGTGCTAGGGCCTGCTAGGGCAACTAGTCGAAACCCTAAAGAAGTGGCCGTGATCCAATCGGCAAGGTTCAGTGCTTCTTTGGCTCACGGGCTAGAATTCCGTAAACTTTTCTGATCCCTCCTGGGTAACCTTTTCGGTTTCAAGACAGTTCAGTGTTTAGGGTTCAGGGTTCCGGGTTTAGGGTGCAAGGTCAGGGGTTTGGGGTATCGGGTTTCGGGGCTCAGGAATTAGGGCTAACCCTAAACCCCAAACCCTAA